GTGCTGAAGGCCAGGTTGGATGAGGCTTTGAGCAACCTGGTCTAGTGGAAGGTGTCCCTGCTGTTGGCAGGGGGGTTGAAACTGGGTAAGCTTTAAAGTCACTTCCAACCCAAACCAGTCTGGGATTCTATGGGTCACTGGCATCCCATACCTGCCGGCATCCTTAGATATAGTGACCGTGACATCCAGCCCCAGCGCCGAGACTCTCTTGCAAACCGTGTCCATGTCAATAATGGAATCAATGCACTCTGGGCCACCTTCTACACAGCACTGGGAGCCTGGGCAGAAGCGACAGTTGTCTAAACCTTTATAACCTACGTTATGGCCACACTTCTCCAGTGTTACAGTCGTAGCCATACCCGAAACACCGACGTGAACCACCAACTACAAGAGAAAAGAAACAACTTAGATCAACCAAAATATAAATGATGGAAAAATCAACTATGCTCAGATAAAGACTGATGGAGTTGTTAGAGGAGCTCTTGCGTGAATATCACAGTAACAAGTCGTTTTATCAATGAAGTTATGGCTCCAGTACAGAACAATTCTTCTTATTTCACCCCCTCCTGGCCTAAATTGTAATTTAATCAGGGTAAAAACGAACGTTGGCACGTTCACAGTCGAGCCCAGGTGGCACAGCCTGGCTGCAAACTGTCTAGACAGCCCTTTGCAGCGGCCCCTTCACACCGGCTGCTCCCGTTAATTGGAGCGCTCTATTCTGAGCTATAAAATTCTACAAATTCACGTGTTCTCACCACAAAAGAGGAAAAGATCTAACCAGGGACTACCAGTCTGAATGTACATTAAAAATGGGGCTTCACATGAGGCTCGTGGCTGTAAGCATGACAAGTTTCAACCATTTGCTCTGTCTTTTCCTCCTCCTCCTGCCTTTACTCACTCACTTGTGGACTGTGCTTTTTCCATAACGCAGGAATGAGTCTTTGCACTGTCTGGTATTCAACTGGGACTTCATAGACATGTAGATCCACATCATCTCGCAGTCCTAGTTTCTCCAACTCCTAAGAATATAAGGAAATAAAATTAAGATGGTCAGAGACAAGCTCAGCAGAAGAGATACTTCTGGGAAGTTTATTAGCAGAGCGAGTTTGCTGTGAGGGACTCGCATCAGCTTACACTACAGGTTGTATAACCTTGTAAACAGCACTGTAAAAAAAAACCACAACAAAACAAACCAAAAAAAACCTATAACAGGGAAAAACAAAGGCATCTCTCCACCTGTGCTAACAGTCTTCACCCACAGGACCGTTTGTTTTGCTCTGATGTGTGTATAACAAAGAAATCAACATGTAACCGACAAGAGTTATCAGCAACACCCACACGCAAAAGAAAGGTTGGCTACATCTTTTATAGAAGTATATAGAGTCAGGTTCATTTCTTGAAAGAACTAGGTATTATATAGAAAAAGTAGAATTGGGAGGATTATATTCATTGTTTAATTTGTCCTCTCTCAGAACTGCTGGCCTGGAGAGTGAATGAGTATTTGTTTGCAGATAAAAAGCTCCCAGGTGAGGTGACTGTACTACCAGGCTGTGATTCTGGGTCTGTGAGTCTCCACAAATATTAGCAAACACCCCTCACATGAGAAACTGGAGCACGTTGGCACTCCCTCCTCAACATATTCATTTTACTTTTATTTTGGCAGAATCTGGAATACAAACCAGGCTATTTCCAAAATGGGTTTCCATCGCCAGCTTTGCCTTATCTAATATATTGTACTTAATGTAGTGATTCAACTAACACAGGGAATTATTTCTCCCTCTATGATGTTGACTAAAGCCATGCCCTGAAAAAACCCCAAATACCCAGGCAATAAACTCAGCCAATTTCCTTTAAACCTTTTTAAAACACAAAGTGTCAGTGAAACACTTTGCAAAGACGTTTTTAAAGATCATTTGGGGTTTTTTTTTCTGCCAGTATACCTGCCTGGAAAGCACAATGCTTCATCCCAACACTCTGAGCTCCCTCTCAACACAGCCCATGGTCCTGGACACTCCTCCCTTCCTCTTCTTTGGTCTCCAGTTCAACACACTCCAGTCTCACCAGTAAGGCTTCAGTTCTAGGCTCATTTGGCACTGCAGACTTTACCAGTCTAGCCCAGAACAGAACTTCAGCAGAAGTGAAACCTTTCAGAGCCATCAAACCCAAACTCTGAAGAACTAAAGGAAAGGACAGCTCTGACAGGAAGCCTCTGGAAAAAGAAAGTGTTCTTAAATAAAATCATCAGCTGAGCTCAAATCTCAGAGCCTTGTACAAGTCTACACTGGGAGGCACTTTTCCAGCAACTTCAGCTATCGTGTTTAATGAATTCCAACAGCATCTAACTCCAATCAAGTTTCCCTCTGATGAAGACAACATTTTTTGGCACTCTGAAAAACTTCACAGCTGCTTTTCGAGACTGGTAAGTGACTGCACATGCCATAAAGCCAACAGCCTTCATCAGAGTCCTGTCATAGTTCATTCTCCTCTGGAAAGAAGCTGCAAGTACATTTTTCTCTGAAGGCAGGAGGAGCAGTGAGCTCTTGCATCATTATCACCAGGTCTGTATTTCAGTTAGAAGAACCAATTCCAGCTTTTCACAAGTTAATACACAGCAGAAGCTTGTCGTCTGGTGCTGCTCTTCTCTGAGATATATGTCAGTTGAGAAACGCGAGCTTACTCGTGCCAGAAGCTGGAAGTGATAACTTGTGCTCACATCAAAGGGGCTCCATGCACAGCAAGAAAATAACCTGCAGCTCTCGCATCCATCAACTGCTGTAGCTGTTCTCATGGCTCTGAGGTAGAAAGAGCCTATGTAAGAAGCCATCAAACTATCAAAGGACGTTTTAAAATACTCTTGAACGACTGAATTACCACCATTTCAGGTTGAAATTTGGTGATCAGAGCCAAGAGCTGCTCTTCCACGCAGCTCCTAGGATTTATTTTCCTGTGCACGGAGATCGTACTCGCAAACTTCAGGCTAAGAAGTGCGGATTAGTTATTTCCAATGAAGCCTACTCAATTTCAAATCCTGCATTTCCCTTGGTTTAAAATTCTTCCAAATTAAAGACAGTTGAAAGGAGAGGACAAGTTGAAGTTTCTGGATTCCCCTGTTACAATCCTACATCCTCTACAGACATGTGAGGAATATCTTAGCACCCTTTATTTTCTGTAGTCATCAGTGTGAGTAGTTTCTTTACTGAGGAAAAAAAACCCAACAAACAAACAAAAGCCTTTTGCACTTGTAAGTAGAGAGCACAGAGAGTGTAACAAGATTTAAGACAACTAAAAGATGCAGTGAAGGCAAGAGTAAGACTTTCAGGGACCAGCAGATATGAGTAACAACAATGATAAATCACTCGCTCTGGCTCTGAGGGCAAGTCTGATATTAAAGGCTTGCTGTATTGATTAGTGTCTGGCACACACAGACATTCATTACCAGAGATGGATGCTAAGTGATGTTTCATCACATCTTCTTTACACAAATCTGCCTTCCAAACGGTAGCTGGTTTATGTGGTGCTTTAATAAAGTAAGTAGTTTACAAATGAGAGTGTTCAAATACAAGTCAGTCTCTTCAAGAAGATCTCCAGAGCGTTAATTGGTAGGAATTCATCATCACTTCTCTAAAGAGCATGAAACAGCTTCTCAAGATTAATTTGATGGCAGAAAGTCTGTGCAGAATGAGCATCTACAAGGAGGAGGAAACCTGGATCCGTGTGAGCTGCTCCACCTCAGTGACAGCCACCACCTCCAAACGCAGCCGCGTTAAACCTTTACAAACTCACAGCTTTTAACCAAACGCAGCCTTCTTGCCTTTCCACTCCATAATAAAGATGTACCCTGGCCCCCAGACAACTTATTACCCCCAGCCTTGTATACCTGACAAATATAGAAAAAAACCAACGTGTTTGACCGATTCCCTGACCCCTCAACAATGGTCGTCTTTGTGAGCCTTTAATATCCTTATCAGGTCTGTCTAGACACCCTGACAGCAATTGTCCTTACTCATGTCAAAACGCACTCTGACCTCTCTCCTCCTCCTCCTCCAGCTCAGCCAGAAGCATTTTGAGGGCTGGGGGGGGTGATGAAGGCAGGAGCCCATCAGCTTCACAGTCCACGGGACACACCTGTGTCTATACCGAAGTCACACCAGCGAGGCCAGAAAATGCACTGAACAGAAAATCCAGTAACAACTTCTTGAAAGGAAGGTTCCACTCATGTAAACTAAAAAAAAAAAAGCAGCTGGAAAAAACCCCAAAATTCCTCAAATGAAATATTAAAATGATGAAAGCAGCAAATCCACATTAACACCGAATATTTTTACTGTAAGCCTAGAAAAAGAAAGCAAAAAGAAGTTGTTATTCCCTCTGAATTGATGGGAAATCTCTCCCCACATCTGTAAAAATCTCCAACCGTTTCATCTTCAGGTTATTAGATGGCTACTGCCACTTTTTAAGGCATCCTGTAATGTTAACTATGTGTAAAAGTCATTTAGCTCTTAAAAAACACACAACTACACTAGAAATTCACCGCGGCCACAGGGGAGAGACACACCGGATCCGTGTGCTATAGAAGAAGCCAAATAAAACTAAAAAGAGGAGTGGAAAGAAAAGCAGAGAATTTTACCCTCAGGATAATAAAAGATGTAATAAAGCAGAAGTGGCTTAGCCCTAAAGCTAGGAAAGATTTACAAAGATTGTTTAATTGATTTTTTTTTCTTCTATTAAAATGCAGATCACAACCGTCTGGGATTGAGAAACTCAGACACGCCTTTGTGTCCACTCAGCTCCATGAAGTCCCCTGTCTGAAACTTGCACAATGCCCAACTTGCATGTGCTCAAAGACATGCTGTTCCTTTTTGTCTGGGCCTCTCCGGGGCTGAGCTGGGGTAAGGGAAGGCAAATCCTCCCCGCTGCCTCCAAACTGGATGGTTTTTTAGTTAGAAGCAAGAGTAAGATATTCAACAAGACTCAGAGGAAGATGAGCTCCAATGCAGCAGATAGCACAGCATCAACTGTAGTTTTATATTCTCAAAATATACCCCCTAAAGCTCATAAAATGAATTTAAAAAGGCAGGTGAATGAATTTAAAATGATTTCAGCTATCAGCCACACAGCGGAGCAGCCGTCAGTGCCTCGAGCTGCTGGGCTGAAGGAATGACACACCATTTCCCTCCACAGGAATTATACATTAGGTTTGTTTTGGTAAGAAACATCAGAACACCCACCACTCTTCCTGTCCCACAAACACAAGACCCTTTTGTCCATCTCCTCTAGAATAAGAGTAGCTTGTTTACAATACCTGACATTACACCAGGAAGAACAAACCAAATCAATTAGCCTCACTGCTAAATTCCAGTAACACACAATTATTTATTCCCCCCCCCACCCCCAGCTTGCATTTCTCCCCAAACTTAATCCAAGCAAACCCTAACTCAAATATATTCATTTCCAAAAGGCTCTTAAGAGGCAAAGGTTTCCTCTTCTCCTACCAGCCGACACATTAGACATCTGGACATTAGTTGACTGTAATTGATTAGAGTTTGTGATTTAATTTAAAAGCATTCTAAAGAAGGTATTAATCTCAGAGCTCTGAAGGGAAGAGAGATGTGTTGGGGAGGAAAAATAGATTTAATTCCCTGGGCAATTGTACTAAAAGGTACCCTCGAATTCCCAGGAGCTTTGTCGTAAACCACATCCAGAAGTGACAAATAAGGAAGGAGCAGGATAATGTGGCAGCATCCTCCCTACAGCAAGCAACCTCAATTCCTTAGTTCAGCTGGGCACCTAGCAAGAGTTTCATTTCTGCTTCTTCTTGCCTCATTTGTGACTAGATTAGTGTTACACGGACGAACAAGGCTCATGCAGATCCCCAGCTACAAGTGGCGTAAGCTCGATTCGCTGGAGCAGCGATTCTCCACGGGGATCCCACAAGGTCCAGCTCCGTCGGTGAATCATAGGATCATGGAATGGTTTGGGTTGGAAGGGACCTTAAAGCTCATCCAGTCCCAACCCCCCTG